CTTTGACAGTGCCTGTCTGGCCCCACGTCTTCTCCTCCTCCTTTCTGGCTCCCGCAGAGACAGGCACAGGAAAGAACAGTCCTACACCGCCCGTATAGTCCTGGAGCCCGGCACCCACCTGGACCGCCCAGAGAGCCCAGCACCCACATGCAGTCCTGGTGAGATCTGCACGCAGCCCTGGAGAGACCCAAACATGCTCTGGTGGGACCCAAACACAGCCCTGGTGAGACCCAACGCAGCCCTGGTGAGACCCAACGCAGCCCAGGTGAGATCTACACAAAGTCCTGGTGAAATCTGCACGCAGCCCTGGTGAGATCTGGTGAGAAAGCCGAGACCCTGTAGAAGAAAATGGTGGCAGTTGCAAATTTTTATGTTGCACGACATTAGCTTATTATCAAACCCAAAAATGTTGTGAAAAATGCACTTAAGTTAAATTTAGTGCCCCAAAGCACTATATAAAACCCCCTTTTTTTAAATATAAAATATGAGGTTACAACGAGTAAATAGATACCCAACATGCCCAGGTCAAAAATTGTGTGCGCCGGTGAAACTGCGACAAAAATCAGTACCCCAAAAAGTCCATACATGACGCTTTAAAAGCCCCTTCAGGTCATCAGTTTAGAGATGCATGTAAATATTGGCCCTAGAATTATTGCTCTCACTCTGGCCTGTGCGGCGATACCCAACATGTGTACCGACGTGTGTTTATGTCAAGATGCGTGTTCTTGTTGTGGGCGGGAGACTTTAACATTTTTCATTATTTTTACATTTATTTTATTTAATATTATGTTTAAAACTGTTTCTTATGTGATAGCATATTGGTGGTGACAGGTACTCTTTAAGGTGATACTGGGGGTCCAAAAGACCTTTCCACTCTTAATAAGCTATTGAAGTGCAGATTGCACATCAATAGTTTATTGCTCAGCTTCAGGAGCCCAGCAATGACCGATCAGGGACCGGAAGTGATGCAATATGTGTTGCTCCCGGTCCCATAGAACGGGGAGATCGGTGAACGGACGATCGCTGCACTTCTCCCCAGCTTCCTGCCGGTACCCCCACCGCAATCACTTCTACTGTAAAGCTGGTCGCCGGCTCTACAAATATGAATGGAGTCCTGGCGGCTAAAAGCCGCTGGGAGTCTGTTTAACCCCTTAAGGACCAATGACGGAATTATCCTGTCATGGGTCGTGCAGGGGTTAAAGAACTCTGGGAATTTAAAAAACGTACCCTTTCAGAGGGGCTACCCCTGCACTACAAGGGTTAAGTGCATATTTAGTCTAAGGGGCTCAACTAGAGCACATATATTCACCTGACCCTTGGTCCCGCTGACTCCCTCTGGGCTGGTAGACTGGTCCCCCAGCCTCTTCTCCCCTGGGCTCCGGCATTCAATGGACTACTGACATCATCACGTCTAATACGGGTCCACTGACTTACATTAGACATGAGGACACCAAGAGACATTCCATAGCCAGAGTAGAGGCGGAGAGAGGTGAGGATCTGCTTTATCTGAGTCCCCTAGACAGAACGAACACTTAACCCTTGCAGTGCAGTGTAGTTTTTTACATTCCGGTAATTCTTCTTACAGGTTTACATGAAGGAGGAGAGTGCAGAAAAACAGAAATGAGTTCCCTCAGTCTGCTGCTTCTCCTTTTACTGTCCAATCAAAGACTGGGGGTGAGAAGGAAACCTATATTTTATCTGTGTATTTATCTGTTTGCCTGGAATTCAGATTGAATAATTAGGTTGTATTTTTTGCTATTACAGGTCATTACATTTTACATATGATATGGCCTTTATCTCGTTCCTTCTTCTGTACCTGTTATTATTCATCTAGTTTAAAAAAAATATATATATTTGATTAGTATAGCGTACCTTTATAGTAAAATGACTGCATTTCTATTACAAACTCCTTTTAATGTAAACAGATAAGCAGACAATAAAAATGTCTAAATAATGTAACAGAGTATATAACTTCATACAACTAAAAAAAAACAAATTCTCTTAAGGCAACTACAAAACAAATGACTGATTAGGTAGTTGCTGATCTGTGGACTAACTGGACACCGTGGGACTCTGCAGTGAGATACACTTAGGTGTAGCTCATAGAGAGCTCAGTAACGGACAACTGAAGAAGCTGATTCTAGCACTGCTTGCAATGATTATCTTGCTATAGAAGGTTTATCTAGAAAGAAGTAACAAGTGCTCTGAACAGCTGCCATTCTTCTAGATACTTTCTTGTATTAGAAGGGGAACAGACTCCAGACACTCACATATAATCTTATCCCTGTACACAGCAGTAGTAAGACCCCATCTTAAATATTCAGTTCCGTTTTGGATGTCAGTTTACAAAAAGGATGCTGTAGAACTGGAAATAGTGCGTCAGAAGGCATCTAAATAATTAGGAGAGCTGAGGACCTCCGCTATGAGAGCTGAACTGAATTTATTCACCCTTGAGAAGAGGCAACTATGGGGGATATGAAAAATGAACGTTAGTGTATTTTCTTTTCAGGCTTAATGTAATACCACAATATGGCCACTAGATGGAGCTGTGGAGCATATGAAATAAATACTTATTAAGGTTATCTCATAGACAGGGGGGCAATCTTTTATCCTGGATGAAAATAAATGTAACCTTTGTGTATGAAAAGGTTTCTTTACAGTAAAAGCTGCGAAAATATAGAATAGTCTTCCACAGAATCTAGTTCTAGCCAACTCAATAGATGACTTATTGCAAAAAAGGGCTGGATATTTTTTAAAAGCATAAAATATAAATGACTACCGTAATAATAACATAGTAGAATGTTGATCCAGGGGGCGTGTGATTGCTTTGGGGT